GTCGCCGCCTCGCATGGAGCTGCTTAGCTACCAACTCCAACGTGCAGCCCGCAGCCAGCCGGCCACGGTCTCTGCAAGCTCTGGTCAGGCAGGGAGGCAGGCAGGGAGATCCCCAATGGCTCCCCCGGCACCACTCAGAAAGAAGCCCAACGTCACAGGGTGGGCGTGCTCCCAAGTACCACGGTGAGCCCCACCTGCACACACCAGGTGGGGGAGATCCACTCAACTGAGCAATATCCCCATCAGAAAGGGAAGGCTGGTCTTTCTTCCAAAGGAGGAGGAGGTAACAATACAGAGGGAAATTTGGCAGCTGCCGTCGGGGTGGGCGTCCGGCCGAAACCACATCCAGCCCTTCACCCCGCGGCCAGCTTGGCGCTGCAACTAGAACGTGAAAACACGAGACACATGGTTCTAGGATGTTTAAAATAATGAAGACAGAAAAACTGGGAAAAAAGGTTTCGGGCTTTTCTGCTGGTTAACAGGAAACGAGGTGACAGGTCTCTCCGGGATCCCTGCCGAAGCTGCTGGGTGTGCACACGCCCTGCCCGGCAGCCCCGGTGGACTCCACAGTCCCGAACCTCGGCTGGCTGGCTACTGGGCAGCTGGGAACAACGCCGACGCAGGACAGGCTGCAACTGGTGTTTTGCTGGGTCCCACGCTGCTCTCTGTCCACAGAGAAGTAAAATGTGTATGCGGCAGTGGCCGACAGAGCTCCGGGGAGGACACCGATTGGAACACATGCCCCGCGGCCCCATGCTCATCAGCCAACACGCAGGCGAAACTCGTGTGAGGCAGCTCGCTGAGAGGTGGGCTCGGACAGCCTGATGCAGGGACGCTCAGGGTGGGGCCAGCCTGACTGCTGTAGACACACCACGGACCGCCACTTACTGAGCCACTGTTGTAAACACTACTCATCTTTCCTAAGTGCTTGAAAGAGTAGGAAATCACGTTATTCTAGAAAAACAAATTAGAAATTTGGAGAGGTTAAAACAAATCCTTCAAGGAGAGACACTGGGACACAGAGACATTTTCAGACAGAGCACAGAGACCAGACCCCAAACCTGGCCAGGCTGGTTTACTCGGGCCTCACGACCTTGCCACGCAGAGTCCACCGGCCGCACTGCACGGTTCCTGCAGCCCCCAAATCACACCCACCATGTAACCACGCTGACCGTGACCACGAAGTTGGAAAGCAGCTTTGGTGACCTGCCTCTCGGAGGTCAGCACTCCACACTGCATGCATGGGCATTATCTGGAACCTTCCGGATAACTTAACAATTCACCACTGAAGCATGGAGAACGTTCAAGGACAAAGCAAATACGCCCGTTTCGTTCCATGACAGGTGCTCAGGAGCTTGTGAAATTATTCACGTACGTCCACGGTTACAGAACAGACTGGAAGAAAGTATATGCGTTCTAAAGAATACCTCCCTGGGTGGCAGCTGTAGGTTCTGAAACAAGACTTCATTTTTAACTAACAACTGATCGGGCTGCCAGTGGACGCTGAATCCTCCAGCACCGCATCTCTCAAAAGTGGTAAGAAGGCCGCGTGGTGCTCAGGGCCCCGTGACAACGTGAAAACACACGCAAGACTCATGTGCGCACCTTTATGCACGAAGGTTGGGCTCACATTCTTCTTCTCAGTCACGATCAAACAGAAACTGCACAACACCTCACCAATACCGCCACGGTCTTTATGGCAACGGCGTGTGTGGACACTAGCGTTCCGGGAGCAGTACCTATGAGAACCTCCCTGCCGACATCCCAGGACACAGGACGTGTGAGCCGAAGTCAAGCACGGGGAGCAGGACACGGCAAGGCCCCCGGGACCACACAGCCCTGTGAGTAAAGCAGGCCCTGAGCGTGGTGGCTCGTGGCCTCCGCGTCAGGCTCAGGTCTGCACTGCGCTGCACACAGGCGTGTCCTCAGGGAGCCAGGCAGGGCTTTCCCAGCACACAGCTGAGAGCAGGGTAAAGGCAAGCTGATCTGCCCAGAGTGCCAGAGAGGCGGCCACCACACCTGGAACTCTGTGATTTCACGCTTTTCAGTGCATGAAATTTACCTGCCCCTTTTATACCAGAATAGAACCTTAGTTATCGCTTTAAAAATAGTCTGTCAAAAATAATGCTCTGCCAGTAAAATTTCTTTCCCGGTGTTAGGTTAACAGTTAGGAAAGCCCAACTAACTTTTAATACGGGCTGTGGGCTGCACCGACGTGTCCCCCAAACTCCACCTGCAGGACCTCAGAACGGGACTGCATTCGGAGACAGGCCTTGAAGATTATTAAGGTTAAATGAGATTATATGGGAGGGACCTGACCCAGTACAACTGTGTCCTCAGAGGCCGAGATCAGGACACAGCTGCATGCGGAGGGAGGACTGCGCGAGGACATGGGAGCATGGCCGTCTGGACGGCCAGGAGAGAGGCCCCAGGGGACGCCAGCCCTGCTGCCTGCATCCCGACCTCCGGCCTCCAGCACCCGGACAGTAGCTGCTGTTTAAACGACCCTGTCCCATCCCGCGTTTGCTGCAGCCTCACACGCATGGCATACAGAGAGTTCGCACAAACAGGGCCTCGGGGGCCCAACATATGCCTGATCAATCAGAGCACAACCCTTGTGAGAAACACAATGACTAAGTAACACAAAGAGAAAGCCGGTGAGGACAGCTGAGACGCATGTGTTTGTGAACGTGTGTGAGTCCAGCAGAGGGACCTCTGGTAACAGGCGTCAGTCCCCTGAGTGCGGATGGGACTCTCCCCTCCAGCTGCTCAGCCAGAATCCCAGCTGCAGGACGATGCAGACTTCGGGCTCCACCCCCTCAGACGCATTTCTCAGTGCCCAATGACTGCTGCCGCAGGGCCGTTCTGGAGAGGACACAACCAAGGAAGGGGTGAACACGATGGGACGTTAGCATTTCGGGACAAGCCGAAGCAACAGTTTGCTAAAATAAGGTCCCTGGTGCGTAACACGCGCACACGCACGCACACGCCCACACACTCCCCAGGGAAGAACAACTTCCGGGACGAGAGCCCCTCTCGTCGCCCTGGTGGGGACGCCCACCGCCTGTCACACGTACGCACACACAGCGCCTGGGCAGAAGCTACCAGATCGCTTACACACCCGGCGGGACACAAAATCGACGTAGAGCTCTAAAGCTCCTTTTGCAGTCTGCACCCACAGTCCACGCACAATGCAGAATTCCAGTCCGGAGTCGCAAGCTCTGCGTTAGCGCCAAGGCCTGCCTCTGTCCTGTTCACGTCACATCTGCCGCAGCTGTTCCAACACCAAGACAGAGTTTCAAAGTTATGTGCATGTGCTGATCCCGTGAAGGGTTCTGGGTCCTTCCCCGAGCACCCGAGTCCACAGCGCAGAGGTGAGCGGCGCAGGGATGTGCCCACATGGCAGATGGCAGCCTACTCACCAGATGGGAACGGCCAGCACAAAAAAAGAAAGGCGAGCCAGGGCCCGCACGTCCCAGCGCCTGGGCTGGCAGGGATCAACGCGCCCCCTGGTCCTCAGGAAAAAACTACGCAGAAAGAAGGCAGGGTCATTTTTAGGCAAAATGATGTGCCAGGCCAATAACCCTAAAACCGTCTGCCATGGAGTCACCTTAGCTGAAGGGTTTTATGGCCAATACGAGGGAGACAGAGCCTGAGAGCGTCTGCAGAAGTAATTCAAAGACTCCCCTAATTCTCTGAGACTTGGTGGCCTGAGCGCTTACAAACAGGACATAGGACAAACCTGTGCTAGACTTTACGTGTGAGACCGTGTACTGCAGGCGTTAGGAAGTCCAGGTTTTACAAGAATATTAATGTAAGGACATGTTTAAAGTATCTTTGAAACACAAAACAGTTCCCACAGTCCTGTGACGGAAATGCAGATTTCTTCAGCATAACTGGAAGACAAGACAACACGTTTTGCCATTGACCTGGGAAGGAAGGTCACAGAAGTGCCTGCAGAGACGGCTGGGCTGTGGGCTCTCTGGGCCCCCGCACGGAGGCCGCTGTTGTCCTGGACCACACATGTGCCCCCACGCCTCCCTCACGGGCACCGCAGACGAAAGGTGCGCCTCCCCCCAACCAGGGGTGCCACTCGGCAACGGCCAAGGGCTGCGCAGCATCTGCCACACTTTACTCACTACCAGCTCGTGGCTACGCTGAGGACGGTTGAACGGGCAGGCCCACCCACAATTCTCCAAGCAGGGCTGCTTCCAACAGACCCACTCGCTGGCCTATGGACAGCGACTGGCGACCGGCGACCGCCAACCTTCCCACGAAACCTGCCGTCCTTTTAGGGGACACGCTTCCCAAGCTGCACCTGCAGGGGCAGGAGGAGGGCTGGTGCGTGTCAGGAGGAGGGCATGAGATCGGGCTTCCCATGGGCGGGCGCTGGTCGTCCCTGTCCCACACCTGCCCGTGCCTCCCCCAGCCCCAGCCTTAACCACGTGATCCACGGGCCCAACTCAGCGGGCAAACATCAAAACACAAATCTAATTAAAGGCACATGAGGGATCTACTTTTTACCTCACTGGTTAAAATTTCCCAGGAAGATAAAGCACAGAACACGCACCCGTCAGTGGCGTGACCTTCGCTTCCTCATCCCACCACTGGGAAACGGAGATCTTCCCTACACTCTCGCTCGTGGGTGCTCGAGTATTAACAACATTACAGGCAGTATATAAAGCAAAACTAGATGTGAAAGTATAAAATACACATTATTTAATTCTATTTAAAATAATCAAGTTTAAAATTTTATGATAAATTTTCTCCTTAATGGCAATCCACTACAGAATGGCTCTAGGACACTGCTCACTGCCCCTCTCCCTTTGGGGACGACCAAGTGTTACCATATGCGAGGAGAAGTTCGACCTCCTTCCGTTTCTGCGTGCTTTGGACGGTTTACATGTGGTGGAGAGGGGAAAAGGTTACTTAAAATCTTAAACTTTAAAAAACTTCCAGAAGCAGGTTTAACACATCACATTTTGCTCATGAGCACAAAATTTACAGTCAGAAGTTGCACATAAAGGGTTTATTTTAAATGTTTTAAGGATAGGATAGAGTTACATCATAATTATAAAAATTACTTACAGAATTAACAGATTTATATTGTTTATACTTCTAAATGCAGAGAACAGGGAACGGTCTACACATTGTATAAAATAAAATTAAAATTAAAAATGAATTCAAGCCTGAAAGATGAGGTCATTTACCTAATTGTAAGATGCGAACACGAAGACCTCTGAACTATACACATCCGCTCACACCGCACTAATGGTGGAAATACAAAAAGCGCAGCATTTCCAAGGAACCACAGACATTTCGACCATAATTATTTGTTATAATAATTGTTCCTGTTTTGTCTTTGGAGAACTTTCTTTCTTTCTTTCTTTTTTTTTTTAAGACAATCAGCTTACGCATGTTTTCAGGCACTACAATTTGTGACAATCAGAACAGTCTTCTAATGGGTCCAGAGCGCTCAGAGATTCGAGCCCAATGCACTTCGGGGTTTGGCACGTAAAAGAGGAACAGGAATGAACTCTGGCTTAGAGGTGACTGCGAGCGCTTCGAGCATGCACAGTCCCTTCAAATGCTGCACGACAGACAGAGCTGGGGAACCACCCTCTGCCGGCACTGCGTGGGGCCACCAGCGCATTTTCATCCTACGACCACTACAACGGCACAGGAAGCAATATACAGAGAACTGAAAACAAATAAAAACAAAGATAGAAAACAAAAAACCTAAATATCTTCCACATGCAAGTTCAGTTAGTTACATTGAACATCCTACTTAGAATAGAGCATGCAAAAAAGGATGGTCTGCGTTTAAGGTTCTCCTCGGAAGCTTCACGTGGCAGCCGGACGTCACACGCACACAACACGGGAACACGACAGCAGGTCAGTGAGAAAGGCCGGGACATTTTATACAGGTTCAGGGCTTGTGCACTCACAAGTCCCATGGTAATTTTGGAAACTCATGTTGGGCTCCTCGAACAAGGAACCAACATTCTGATACCAGGAAAAGGCAAGCAATGCATGCAGATCTGAAACGTGAGCCTAGAACGAAGCCTGAAGTACCGGGCGAGGGAGTGGAATCAGTCACCGCGCAAGTGTGGGTTAAGCCACCAAAAGAAAAGAGAACAGGGGAAAAAAGGAAAACAACAAAAAGCCCCTTCCCCTTCCTTCCGCCCTAAAGGCAACAAATGGAACAATGATGAAAATAATGGTGATCGTAACGTGTCACATTCACCTGGAGAGTGGCAGACCATGTGGTGTTGAAGGTGCTAAAGGAACTCGCAGGAAAACCACAACGCAAGTCATGAAGTGAGGCTGCAAAGGTTTCCACTGCCCAACCCTCAGGATACTCCCAAAGAACACTGGTTTTCAGTCCGAAGCCACTGCGCCACGTCCGCACAGTGCACACGCCAGACGCCCCCACTCTCGGGGCACACGCATTCGCCTGCGCTCGGGGAGCCGGGCTCAGCCTGGAGACTGGCATGCAGGGACCCTGACCAGAGCCAGACAGACGTGCGGCACGACGCCTGTTCGAGCAGGAGCAGCGTGAGACCAGCACTCACCGCGGGGGGAGCGCAGAGCCGGACAAGCTCCCCCTGCCGCCCGAGGTGAGGCGCTGCACTTCTCGAGCGCGAGGTCACCATCCAACAGCATGACAGTGCACAGCCTTCCGGAAGGCGAAGCGGGGCACCACTCGGACCACGCGCAGTGAGGTCACCAACGACAGAATCTCCAATACTGAGCACAGCCACGACAGAGGCCACACGGACTGCTGGTAGTTGGCTGACGACGTGCGCATTCAGCCTTCTGCCTGACACTGAGGCAAGCTTTCCCATCTCCACAAGAGACTGGATCCCCGTCCTCCCTCTCTCCTGGCTTTCAAACCATCAGGACTCATCCAAAACAAAGTGACAGATGGCCATGTCGCCACCACCCCAACCACGTCTATGGTTCTACTTCGGTCAAAACAACCTCGCAGGAGCAAGCCACAAAAGGGCTGCGTGGCCCAGGGCCACAGTCACACCCAGAAGCTAGCGCGATGACGGAAGAGTCCACGTCAGCAGCACACGGGGAGCCGAGACCGCCCAGCACCACAGAAGGGGTCAGGGGATGCAGGCTGTTACGTGTCTAGATATTCTCTGTGGGGAAAAGCCTTCTGACCACAACCATGTATCAGTGAGAACAGTAATAAAAATAAAAGTGTCCCAGAGAACTTGTCAGAAGGCAGCAACGCCACTCCCAAACTTGTATTTCTAATATCAAAGCACTAGGTTCTGCCAGGAACTTACCACATACACACAAACCACTGATGCACTGTTGCCTCTCAAATCCACGCGCTAGAATCCAGACTGCCGATGTACAAATTAACGGACCAGTTGTGCCGTCCAAAACACACCAGCATCACACCATGTGGACCAAGTACCTGGGCTTTGCTTTAAAACAAAAAAAGTACTTAGGATAAAAAATGTAAACAAAAATTTACAAAGCTTAGAAATTAAAGGCAGCTTTTTACCCAGATTCCTAACTGTTTTGTTAAATTCTAATGTGGGTCCAGCAACTGTTCACAAATGATTCCTATTTGGACTCATGGTTTAATGCCTCCAGACTAAAAAGGTGTCTGAACTTCTGACTTCCAAAACACGCCGCACGTCCCTATGTGTCTCCTGTGCCCACATTTACTTTTAAATAAACAGCAGTAATATACGAAATCGGACTGACTCAGGACAAGCACTCCTGTTAACTGGAGAGTATTACTGAACCCCCGCCCCAATCCACAGAGAACGGACTGCCAAGGAAGTGTGTGTGTGTGCGTGCATGTGCGCGTGTGTGTGTGTGTGGTGCTTATGGACACACACAGATGTGGACAGGGAGAGCGAGGTGCATACGTCTCAACAAAGAAGGCGGTACCAACAGTACCAGACTAAGCTTGCAGTGTGGCAGCAGACGGGGAGAACTACAGTGCCGGGGAGCTGGGCGCGATCCAGTCCAGTCTACACGACCGCGACGCTAGCTTAACTTTACCAAACTTGCCCTAACTCCCCTCCAGACACAGAGACTTCTCCTAAGAGGAAGGAGTTCCTTACACAAAATGCTTTGTGTTCACATAAATCTGTACTATTCAGAACAAAACCAGTTCTGCTGGCAGAGATTGTGGGTTCGCAGGGACATTTAAGCTTTCATTAAACTGGAAAGCAATCAAGTCTTTATGTCTACAAATTATACATTTAATAGTTCCACAAATTTGGCCAAGTTCATGATGACATCTAGGATGTTTTCACCAAATCGTAGACATAAATATGGAAATCGTCATCAAACTTGATGAAATAGACAGACGGTTTGGCCTCCACTTGATGAATGACCATGCCAGTCCTTTTAGAGCCGTCCTCTTTGGCATATTCCACCTGTTTGCCTACCAGGCTGTCCACAACTTCTCCCGGTTCCCTTTCTGCTGGAGGAGAATCATCTGCATTAAAGAGGGGAGAAGAAAGAATTTAAAGTCAATTTTTACGTATGTACCAACTCACATGTCTATTTTAGTAATAATTTTTTAAAATGCTAACCTCTGGATTCACCCTAATTATCTAGAGCAAGAGTCAGGCCACTTTTCCTTCAAGGGCCAGAGGCTCGAGGACATATGGTCTCTGCACCAACTGCTCGGCCCTGCCAGTCCCATGAGAACAGCCGAGAGAGAGTGCAGAAATGAAAGGTGTGGCTGTGTGCCAATAAAACTTTATTTACAAAAACAGTGTGCCGCCCCCCACCCCAGGATGTAGGCATGTCAAGGATTCTGAAAATCATAACCAGAAATCCCCGTGGCTTGTGTTTAATTACAACTGAGACTGAGAGAATGAAGCAAGGAAAGGCCACAGAAAAGCCTAGATGCACAGAACTTCTCCAAAGTAGCTGGAGTGACTTTGAAACAGGCCTTCAAAACAGACAATACCTCTTGGGACACTGAGAATATGCCATTCTCTTCAACACACGCCTGGTCTTTTTCCTGTGACTCCGGAAACCTTGTTTCTCCCCACGTTCACCGCAGCACACATGGTCTTCCTATCCCAGCTTCCAAGTAAGACTTCCTGTGCTCTGAAGACAGGTGCCGAGCGAACCCCTTCCCAGACTAATCACGACGGGACCTCCGGGATGGCAGAGGCACTCGCGCCTGTCAGACGGTCCCCAGCAAAGCCTGCGCGCCAGAGAACGCTGCCCTGAGCCGGCAGGGGCTACGAGGTGTTCTCGGAGCACAGAAACCAGAGCAGACCCGACGGGCAGGGGGATGGGCTGGGTGGCTACCACCCTCTCTCAAGAAACCCCTGCAGGTCGTGCGTGGGGCGAGCTCTTTTGCAAGGAGCAGCAGAGGGGGCGGTGGGTCCTGCTTTACCCCAGGCCGCCTGTGCTCACGCCGCTCGCAGAGCACCCCAAGCCTCACACACAGCCTGCTGTGGCCCCGAGCATGTGTCTGTCCCTCACGGTGGACACAACCCTAACCCCGCCTCTCTGACCGCCAGTGCGGCCGGCCACATGCCCGAGTCTACTGGTCCTCAGGTCTCCTGAGCAGGGAAGCGATGTCGAACCCGAAGCTCAAGTTCTCTCTTCAAAACTGCTCTTTCCTCGGCAGCGGCGCCAGCCCACCATGCTTTCGGGGCGCTGCCCGTTTACAGAGCATTCCAAAGACGCGACGGCCAGGCATTTCGCTACTGAGCCAAGATGCAAGGGCCTCACACGGAGGCCCCTGAGAGCTCCCAGCACCAGGGCAGCATCTCCCGTGGCCGCTGCACGTCCACACTCGCTAAACCACTTAGCGGGTGGGTGAGGAGCCCAGGAGACGCCGCGGGCGGTCCCAACGCCCCTACGCTTTCCCAAGCAAGGCCAACAGTTCTCACTGCGGAGCTTTCTCTACAGAAAAGTCAAAAATCAACTTCATACAGACTGGAGAAATGCTTTTAAGGAACACTCTCCTGATCATTAAATTCCTGCCCGTATAAACACTTCCCTTTACAGATATATGAAGAAAATACACAAAGCCTAAGACAAAGAAAGAAGGTGGAGAGTCAGGGCCGGATGAGCACTGTGAAAGCAGGTTCACTGCCTGCCTTGTTGACGGAAGACCCTGAGACATGCTGACACCCCGCTCGCGTATCAAGCGTCTGCCCGTCACCCCGTCCAGGCCCAGGGATCCCTGTGCTGGAGGGAAGGAAGGCTATGGAGTAGTTTAAAAAAGAACAGGCTTACCCAAAAATGAAAGTAAGAAAATAATTCCATTCATAACAGCATCAAAAAGAGCAAAATATTTAGGAATAAACCTAACAAAAGAAGTATAAAACTAATACTCTGAAAACTACAAGACACTGTTGATAGAAATCTTTAACTCTCAATAAATGGAAAAGCATCCATGCTCCTGGGTCAGAAGGCTTCACGGTGTCAAGATGATCAGAGATTCAGCACAATCCCCATCTGAATCCCAGCTGACCTCTTTGCAGAGAATGACAAACTGATTTCAAAATTCATGAAATTGCCATGGAACCAAAAGAGTCAAAACAATTCTGAGACAGAACAAAGTAGGACTCAGCACCTCCCAACGTCAACGCTTACTTCAGAGCCGTGTGACCGAGTATGGCACGTGCCCCACAGACAGGAGCACAGCCGTCCATCTGCGGCCAGCTCCCTTTCACCACGGGCGCCAAAACCACCCAGCAAGGAAAGAACGGTCTCTCCACAACATGGTGCTCAGACAGTGTGCACAAGAATGAAGGGGGACCCTTCCACTACATCATAAAAATTAACTCAACACGTTATCGAAGATCAAAATGTAACAGCAACACCTATTAAGACTCGCAGAAGAAAACGAAGAGGTACATCGTTTACGGCCTCGGACACAACACCGAAATGAAAGCACAAGTTACAAAAGAAAAAACAAATTGGACTTCATCACATTTAAAAACTTCTGTGCTTCAAAGAGCACCACCAAGAAAGTGAACAGAAACCCACAGAATAAGAGAAAGTGTCTGCAAATCCTACATGGGTCAGGAGACCCGCAGAGAGACCCAGACTCTGACAGACTTCTCTCCGAAGAAGACACAGAACCGGGGCACCTGGGTGGCTCAGTTGGTGAGGCGTCTGCCTTCAGCTCAGGTCATGATCTCAGGGTCCTGGGATCGAGTCCCGCATCGGGCTCCCTGCTCAGTGGGGAGCCTGCTTCTCCCTCTCCCTCTGTGCTCTCTAACAGATAAATAAAATCCTAAAAAAAAAAAAAAGACACGGAAATGGCCAATAACACACAAAAGGACGCCTGACGTCTTTAGTGATCAGGGAAATGCAAACCAAGCCCACGATGAGGTAGCATTTCGCAACCACAAAGACGGCTAGAGTGAAAACGTCAGTTAACACGTGTTTGTGTCAGAACCCGCACACACGGTCAATGCACGTGGAGAAGGGTGCAGGGGTCCCCCAAACAATTCAACAGTGACACAGACCCATCAATCCCACTCCTCGGTATGCACCCAAGAGAACTGAAAACATCCACTCAGAAACCTGCGCACAAGGGTTTACCACGGCATCCTTCATAACCAGCAAGGGGTGGACAACCCACACACCCATCCGTGGACGGATGAACACATGTGCACACGGTGCCGCTGTATTTGGCATGAGAAGAGAGAAAGCACTAACACGTCACAACACGAGGAGCCTTGAAAATGGTGAGCTGAGTGAAGGAAGCCACACAAGAGGGGCCCACCATACTCCACCCATGCCAAGTCCACAGCCCAGAACAGCACATCTACTCGGCAAAAGGTGCAAAGTTTCACAACTTATGCTTGGTGCAGGACTCAAAGAATAATCACTTGACCCTAGTAATCAAAACAAGATACATCTACAAAACAGTTCATCAAACATCTCGTTCTAAAATTCAAGTTCCTCTGAAATTAACAGAAATAAAGGCTGTCAATACACACTTACTAGAATCGGGCATAATGCGAAGGTCGCCTTCTTTATAATCATCTAAGAGCTGGTACATGTACAAGACAGGGTCCTTCTCGTAGGTGATGTAGAACCATGTGTTCATGATGGGGGCACGTGCTAGGACCATCCCCCTCCACTCATCCTTGGAGCCGTCCTCCGTCTCAAACATGTGCTCTACCGCCTTGCCGATCATCGTGTCGGCCAGGTGTGCATCGCTGATTCGAGAGGTCGCTGGGGACAAGAAGCAAACAACGGTTCACACGGGGTTTTACCAGGTACGTACCATGAAGACTGAGCTCATGCAAGGGGGCAGCCTGAAGGGCTGTCCGTGCACACCAGCACCCCTGCGGGGCCCAGACCACGGGATCCCACGGGCACTGGTACATCCCAAGTCAGCGCCTGAGAGAACCTGCTGTTCTTCTGTGAGTCTTCCTGAACTCCTCTGCCCTTGCTATTGTGTCTAAATTGGAACTTCAATGGTCTGTCGGAGGTACACAGTGTGTTTTGGTATTAACAGTTACTTTGTATGTTGCGGTAATGACCGCCTTCTTGCAGAATTCCAAAACAGGAGCGTTCCCACGCACGCTCACTCACCTTCTCTCTATTAACACCTACGTAACCACATGCCAGGGATGAAAACTAAGCAATGCACCCATGCCAGGCCTGAGAGGTTACTCTCACGTCCACATTGTTTCCCACAGCGACCAGACCGTGCCTCATGACGGTCACACCAGCCTGCGCTTTGACACGAAATGCCCCAGTGCTTCCGCTTGGTCATGTGAAGAACAAACTGCTTCCCTGGGCCTGCAAGCCTCCCCTCCTGGCCTGTCCCTGCCCCCACGGGCCTCTCCCTTCTCCCCACCAGGCTCCCCCATCTGCGGGATCACCAGCCACCAGTCGCCTCCTCCCACGGTCTTCCCTAATGACACCAGCCACCACGTGCAGACACCATTGACAAAAGCAGGGCCCTTCCCGTCTGCTTCCCAACACGGAGATCACAGGGCATCAACACCTGCCGTACAAACTAATCCTCAGTCCTGTTCTGTGTTAAGAGGCAGGCGGAAAATCACAGCCTTCCTTTTATTAATACTGGGAAAATTACGGAGGATCCTAACGATTTTAAGCTTTTTCTGGTCCCCACGTTTTAGACAAATGTCTTTAAAAACAATTAGCACTTCTATTTTACTCATTCGCAAGTGCTCCTATTTCTGTTAAAATAAAATTCAAAGGAACACAGATTGTAATTTCTTACTAAAGATACTGTTACCCAATTTTATCAGAAGGACACTGTAAACACATATGGTGGTTCTCTCTACTTACATATGCAATAATTCTCCAAAATTACATAAAACTCCCCACTGCACACTAAAGCAAAGCCTACTAGTTTCAAAAGTTCTCAAACTTTTCGATCTCTGGACTCCTGTACAGTATGCTCAAAAATTTCTGAAGATCTAAAAGTGCCCTTCTTTATATGAATAACTATCAGAATCCAGTATGTTAGAAATTATAAATGACAAATCCACAAAATGTATTTCTAATGAAAAATAACTATACTTTCTAATAAAAACTCAGTCAGCAGTGTGGTGTGGTTTTACATTTCTGATGCCCAGCTTTATAGAAGGACATCCAGACTCTCCTGTCTGCTGCTGCATTCAACCTGTGACATGCTCTTTGGGGTGATGTACAAAATCCAGCTTCACAAAGACCTGCTGCTGAAAAGGGAGTCTTCCGTTAGTGTTTTCGGGAAACTGCAGAGCTCCCCCGTGTGACGTAACAGCTCTTCAGCAGTGAACTGCGGTGCAGAATTGGAAATCCTTACCAGCAAACCTGTCACACTGTCACATGAAAACTCACTCTCTCCAAAACATGTACAGAACTCCTACAACTCAGCAGCAACAAAAATTAACTAACCCGACTACAACCTGGGGAAAGGCCCCGAATAGGCATTCCTGCAAAGATGACAGACAAGGGGCCGAAAAGCATGTGAGAAGATACCTGACATGACTAACCATCAGGGAAACGCAAACCCAAACCCACAGTGAAGGGCAAGGGCTGGTGAGCGTGGTAGAGAAACTGGAGCCCTGTGCACTGCGGCTGGAAACGCAAAATGCTACCCACACTGTGGAAACAGCACGAGTCTCAGAAAATCCAACACGGGATTCCACTTCTGGGACTCTCCTCCAGGGAAAGGAAAGCAGGGGCCCGGAGAAGCATCTGACTGCCACGTTCACGGCAGCGCCACCCACGGCAGCCCAACGGTGGGAGCGGCCCAGGCGTCCGTCCATGGATGGAGGGGTGCACACGTGCCATGCAGGGTCACGTGGCCTTGAGAGGGAAGGAGATGCTGCCACCAGCTAGACTCGGCAAGCCCTAGGCACACTGTGCTGAGGAAGCAGCCCATCACAGGAAGACACGTACTCTACAGTCCCGCTTCGGAGGTTGGAACGTGACCGACTTCATGGAAACAGAGTAGAAGCATGGAGGCGGGGGCCGGGGAGGAGAGCTGCTGTTTAATGGGGACAGAGCTGTAGACTGACAAGATGAAGAGATCTGGAGATGTGCTCCACAGCAGTGTGAATGCACTTAACACTAGCTGAATTACGGACACTTAAAAATGGTCAAGGCAGTAAATTTCAGGTCACATGTTTTTTTTCCACCAAAATAAAACAATCTGTCAGTCTTCAAATGGCTCCTTTACCAACACACAGTCTGGTCCCACACAGAAGATGACTGTTTGCTGAGTTATGCAACGCTGCCGCCTCCCCACGTGGAGTGTAAGTGAAGGCCACAGAACTTCCAGACTGCGGGATCGCAGGGCAAACCATAGTCAGCACATGATCTACTGCTGGTTTGTATAGAAGCCTTCAGATTTCCTTTTTAAAATGCTCTGCTGTTTACAAAAGCAACCCCTGTCTCCTGCTGGGAACTACAAAGCAAAACATTAGGCAACTCTGAAGTCCATCAACAGAGATACTTAAAGATTTGGGGGTATTTTGGTTTGGTCAAACCATGTTTTTACCAAGATAAAAGGACTTTTTCTGTCCTTACAAAGGCAGAAGAACTCAGGAAAAAGGGCACAGGACACACAGCAAAATGCAGTAAATCTCAAGTGGCTGACAGTCTTGCCCCAGAAGAGATGCAGACTAAACTTCTGGATCAGAAGATATTATATGATAATTACTTCCTACAAACAATGGAGATGAAGGTTTGGACATTTTTTAAGACCTGCAGGTAAGACTCTTCAATGTGCATTTCTTACGTTGGAAATGGGCGAACGTCAAGATCAAGAGGAAACTGATGATATATGCCTCAGGAGGAAGAGAGAGGGTCCAGTGGCCCAGAGAACAGTAAGATGTGACAGAAGCCAGAAATGCAACGCTGTGCAATGAGTTACCTTTCATAATGGATAAAGAAGATGGAAAGCAAGACTTCAGTGAGAACTGAGCTGCATTTACACAGGATGAGGAAACACCAACAAAATACATGCTGCTCTGGCAAAGAGTTAACATGCTGGGGAAGCGCGTGGGTCCCAAGAGCACAGTGGCAAAAACAAAGGGGACAGAGGGACTGAAGAGCTCCCTCGCCTGACAACCCGACCCCACGCTTCTACCCCTCCAAGTCCACCTCTGCCGGGACTGGGTCTGTTAACTCGGAGGCTTCTTCTAAGGACCATCCCAAAAGCATAAACCAGAGCTCGTGCACGAGCAGCAACGCTGTCAGAAAACATTTCCAAGTGAACACGCTGAAGAAAGTAAGGTTAACGTGCATGCATCCTGCTGACCGTAACAATAACATTTTACTTTATTCTTAAAGATACAATCAGTCATTATTATTAACTGACACCTTACACCTTAAAGAACTAGGTTATGAAGGTGAAGCACATTTGTATGACACTTCACAAAAGAAAGGGCTGCTCACTTCCCCAGTCACTGTGCAAACAACAAGAATGCGTATTCAAGCCCACGGGTTCTGGCGGCCTGAATTATGGCTGAAAGGGCAACGATCACTTATGTAATAACACACACTGTGAGATATACTTCACATAAGGATTCTAAAATAAAGGCATAAACTACTATATAATTGGATGAAATAACTACACAGCATATTTGAGCTAATAAGAAAATATTCTTACCCATCAGAGTCCACATGAACAGTGAGCAAAATGTGGGAAATAACCATGTTAGACATTATCAGACTGTCAATTTCTTCAGCAATAACTTCATATATCTTTGTATCCCTCACAGTTCCTTGAACTGTGGTTTTAGTGACTTAATTATGTATCTGGAGTGCTTGCACTCCAGTAAAAATAAAAATACCAATAATGCAAAAGAATAATAAAAAAGCATCCATTTCAATAATCATTTTTAAAGCATACAATGCACAAATAATAAAGAGAACTTACCAACTCTATCAGGGAGGACTTCGAGCGCAGAAACTCTTTCATCTTTATTAAGTTCTAGTCCATAAACACAGTCAAATCCATCGTATTTTATAAGATACAAAGAAGGATTTACAGGCACCTGGTCCAGAACGGTTCCTTTCCACTGGGTGACAGGGCCACTCCCCTCCTTCCACCCATGCTGAATCCTGCAGCCTACGATGTTCCGCCGGGGCTGGGAAACAGGTTTGCTCGGCCCCACACTGCTCCGATGTTTTCTGCATTCACACATATACACACGTAAGGGATCATCTCAGAAGTATGCACCCCTCGATCCAACGCTACCGCTAGCCAGCATGCTCTCCTACGGGTTATCCCAGGCCCACGCCAGCTAATGGTGCCACACTCCCGGTCCAGGTGCCTCCAGGTGAGCCCTCGGGGTCACCGTGTGTGCACACGGCGTGCTGGCCACAGGGCTCCCCACGCACGCACTGTGGACGGGAAGAACACCACTGCCGGTGGCAACCTCAGCCCTCATACTGAGCACGAACACAGCGTTCTCAGCATTCGCGTTCCCGCTCATGAGTCAATTCACAATGATCCCAGTTAATCATAGAAAGAGAAGGGCTGAGCACGTGAAATATGTACACATGCACATGAACCCGTTCCTCGTCCAACGGAAATGTGCAAACGTTCCATCTCACCCACTCCAGGGTCCACACCACAAGCCCCCACCACCTTAATCAGTGAGAAGAAACAAGACATTGAGCTTCTTCCCCCATTCCGCCAGCCAGTAGTCCAGGCCGGCTGGCATCCCCACGTTGTACCTTCGGTTATCTCTAGAAAACACAGAATCTTACACACTTGCATTTGTGACAAATACTTAATGTAATGTAAAAATTATTGCAGCAACACCAAACCACATTCTTCCTGGATCATTAACAACTGAAAAATCTACACACGATATTTACAAGCAGTACACGTGGGTCTTGGGATCAGGGAAGGAATCCTGGTTCCACCTAGGAGTCTGCACACAAGGGACCGGCTGGGCGTGAATACAAGCTGAGGGCCAGGGCCATGCCCTGCCCGCGCTTCCGTGAGAACCTCTGGTGATCAGAAAGCTCTCAGCTGCTGCACCGTGAGGGCAAGTAATTAGCGAGTGGCGTACACACAAACTTGGAAAGAAAAACAATTTATTGTTGGCTGTAATATTTAAAGCTACAGAAGTATGTACGTCAAATAGTCGAGTCTGGTAAACTCAGTGGTTCTGTGAGACAAACAGGGTCCGGCAAACCATGGCTGCCCGATGAGGCCAGGTTAGCAGAGGGGACAGGGCCCAGGAGGAAACCGTCTCACATCGGGCTGAAGAAGGGGTCCTGAGGCTTCGTGCAGGGCTGTGAGGACAGCAGAAATCACGGGTCTGCCCCCCGCCCCCCGCAAGGCTCAGGAGGCACCCAGCAAACCCAGCTCCCAACAGGATGGTGCCGTAGGAGACAAAGGAGGTGGGCCTCAGAAGGGACGACGGAGACACCCCACACTGGCCTCACGGGTACAGAGGGGCTCAGAGCTCGGCAGGGAGGACAGCCGTCAGGGGAGCCCCAGCCCTCCTCACACACAGGGGCCTCACAACGGCACCGGGAGGGAAGCACGTCCAAAGACAATCTGCCCACTGTCAGGCACACAACAGGGGTCAGGACAGGGAAGGAGAGACAGAAGCACCCAGAAATGAGGACTAAACTGGAGGAACCCGGCCAACAGACACCGTGGGGCGCGCCTGGGAGAGAGGACAAGGGGACGGCGGGGGCAAAACAGTCATGGAAAGACAGGGACAGACACGAACTCCAGCTTCCGTAAAACAGAAGGACACCAACACAACTCAAAAAAAATTCCCTGAAATAGAAGACGGACATGTGCACAGGCCTCCCTGGGAAAGTGGACCCCCAACCACAGACACTAACATTCTAGTAAAACAAAGGGACTTGAGGGAACAGAGCATCTTGTGGGCACCGGGCGAAGGGACCACATCACGTGTAGGGAAAACTGGGAATGTGACAGTGATGCTGGGGCCACCAGACAACAGAGTGGCGGGGTCAGGTCCTCAGGAGGGAAATGTGAGCTGAGGGCTCTCCGCGGACCTCCAAGGTCCAGGAAGAACGTCCTTGCCAGGGCCTCCCAAGGAGTCACGGGAGTTCCTGCAGAGGCTGACTGCAGGCCGGGAGCGCCTCCTCCAAGGGCACACAAACTCGGGGAATGGGAAAGAGGGGCGCGCAGCAAGGCAGAGCTGGACAGAGAGTATTTGAGACCGACGGCCCCTCATCTGACGGGGAGAGGGAGTGAGAGCCGGACTGAGAGATGCGCACAGCAAGGAGCCCCCCGACGCCCCCAGACTCTGCAGCGTGCACCTCGGTGCAGAGGAGAAGGTCAGCACCGCGCAGCACCGAGTCTGTGCCCTGCAGCTACGAACAATGCTCAACCCCAACGACCGCGAACCTCAGGCCTCTTCACAAACCCTGGAAGCGCGCCGTGTGGGGAAACGGCTGGAATCTTGCTAGCATGGCGTTTCTCCTCCGTCAATCCATCACCTACTTCTTGGGACGTCCAGGCAGAAGTCTTAGTGATGCACACTGTGTACGGGGTCAGGCTTTCTGCACAGTGAGGGAGGGGCTGGCTCCCAAACCCCAGCGAGGAAGGAATGCAGTCCCGTGCAGCATTTCGGCGATTCACACAAACGCTCCGCCATCGCTACCAAAATTACAGGCCAGCACAGCATCTGCGTGTGTCAACGTGGCTGGGCCACAGTACTCGGTACGTGGTCAGTCATTACTCCAGGTGTTTTCTGTGAAGGCACTCTTCTAGAAACACATGGAAATCGCAGATGGCCCCCACACAGTGTGGGTGGGCCTCGTCCAATCAGTTGAAGGTCTTAAGAAAAAGTGTTCTCACAGGAAGGTGCACTTTTCCCTCGGACTGGAGCTACAACACCAGCTCTTCCCTGGGCTCTAGTGGATGTCCATGCGTGTGCATGCACACCTACACACACACACGCACACAATCACCACCTGTTCTGTCTCCTTGGAGAATACAGACCACAGCCGGAGAAGTTTCTATCCGAGACTCTGAGGCAGGACATCTTCTGTTAACCATGATTCTCAACAAAACCACCCTAAACTTGGCCAGTGACAGCACAGAGGGTCAGCTGGAGACGCAGAGCGGCACGCTCAGCCACGCATCCCTCGTACACTCGCAAGCGTCGCTGCTGTGGCCCACAGCGGTTCCTGAGGAGGGAGCGGGGCACCGCGCTCCGCCGTGTTTCCCGGCTGTGTCCAGCGGCAGCACAGGCCCCCGCCCTCCCCGGGGTCCCACAAGGGACTCAGAGCTGCTGGGTGGTGCCCTCCAAAGCGGCCCCTGCACCCTTTACCCGGGACACAGCGGTCCTTCCCTCTGTCTTCGCTAAGGGAGCTGGAAGCCCCAAGTCCTGCTGCCGTCCACGGGACGCCTGGGCGGGTCCAGCACCCTGCTGTGCGTCTCTGTGCGGCACTGTGTCATCACCCGCGTCCCCCTCCGTCTGTGCAGCTGGGATGACGGAGGTTCTGTGCCCCGCACGTGGCGTAGCTCTGGTCTTACAGAAGCCACCTCTAACCTCTGAAGTGCTGCATTTAGACTTAACGTTCTTCTACTAAAATGCACAATTAATCAAAACCTATGCCTTCTCTTTCCTAGCTCTAGCAAGACCACAAATAAGCAAAAAACTCTTAGTAAAAGAAGGAAAATTAAAAAAAACAAAAACAACAAAAAAAACCACCTCAGCACATTGTAACCCCACCTGACACTGCTCGAATTTGGGCTGCTCTTCCAAATTGTTATTTTTCCTTTTGTTATTATCTGAGTAACTTTTTTAAAACATTACCTTATTTAGAAACAAACAAGGAAGGAAAGATTTTTGTTGCTTCTTGTAACATTTCCACCTCGTGGACATGTTATTTTTCCAAATACACCCTGTGGTGACGCAGACGGGGTTCAGAGGCAAGCACAGGTTCCTGCAAGCCTCCAGATGCTGTCCTGGTGCCCACGTCCCCAAACCACCTTGGTCCACACATCAGCTTCAAGACCCTTCTCCCCTCACTGCCTGCATCAGAAAACAGTATTTTCATTGTCTCCCATTTTCCAAGTTACAGATGTCAGGTGCCAATCGATCCTTCTTCATTTTGACTGGTTTTTCAGAGTAGCTTTTAGCATTTTCTTTGTTCCTGCAATCAGAAATGTCACCGGAACTTGGGACTTGTGTTTTTCACCACCCCTCAACTAGCACTTGACCGACCTAGAGAGAGCTGCACAGAATTATCTCCCATATTATGACTCTTGATCCTACCCCCTCCGCTCCTTTCGTAACAGGAGGGACGCAGGGTTTCCAGGTGTGTCCTCCAAAATCCACCTTCCCCAACGCTGCTCGCCTTCCAGAAGGACTCAGACCAAGTGTTCATGAATCAGGTAAAATAGATAGGCTTGAATTTCTGCCTATCTACTGAATATCTTACATAGTATCTTTAATTTCTAGAAACTGATGGCTTGATCTTCTCTTCAACGGTGTCTCTTCAATTAACAAGTCTCCCAACATCGGGGGTAATGTTCGCCTCCTTCCCCGGTTCCTCTATGAACTCTGCGGGTCGGCCTTGTCTGTGTTGGGTGTGGATCCCCAGTTAGCTCTTCCGTTGTGTGTGACAATCTCTCGTGCCATCAGTGCTCCTCAGATGCCTGCCGTCTGCCGGGGCCCTCGTGTTACATGCAAGCTGGGGCCACAGCGTCTGTGGTGGGGAGCACGTCCTTGGGCCCAGGCGAGCCCTGACGTCGGGCAGGATCTGACACGCAGCTATGATGCAGGGGGCTGTGGAGCGGCCAGGAGGTGAGTGAGAGACCTTGGGGAGGGCAGCAGGGGCAGGCAAGCAACTAGGCGAGCTGGTTTCTCTTCGGCTGTAGCCAGCCCTGGTGGTCTCCGACCTGCGTGGATTCCAGAGTCTACTCTGGTGGTCACTCTTTGGACGGCTTCCTTTTCTCCTCAAAGTGGCAGAGAGTTCCTCAGCTCAGCTTAGTATTTACATAAATCTGTCCCAACACACTTTAGGTCTCCCAGAAATTTCTAGTGTTCTGGCCTGCCAATAGGATGAGGTAGGATGAACTTTCCAGCTCAGTAACAAAAACTGCAAATTCTGAGGAGTTGTTTTAATGCAAATTATGGCGAGGTACAATCCTCTCTCTGCTTATGGTACAGACACAGCCCTCC